TGATGAGTCCAGGGACAGAAACACGGAGACTGCACAGCACAGCAGTGGGGGCAATGGCCTGGCCGATCTGAGCCCCCCATGGTGCCTGAGAGACTTAGCTCTCGGCTGGAAACATGGGGTGGACAGTTTGGGGAATCAGGATGAAAATGGAGGGCATAGGCTGGAGACAGAGAAGCCTTAGTGAAGCAGCCCAGGAAAGCCTCCTTTCCCGGAAAGGTGAAGAAGAAGCTGGGCAGTGCTGGGGGGATGGGCGTGTGGGGGCAACCGCGTGGGACAGGGGACAGTCACCTCCATGAGTGGGGAGGCCTGGGAAGGCGCCCCCAGGACCCTCATTCCCGGGGAGCCCGTGACCTCTGAGGCAGAGGCTTTGAAAGAGCGTCTGAGGAGGTGAGGCCCAGAAGGTGGGCTGCGAGGGTGGCCAGGGGAAGGTCTGTCGGCTCGCTGGAGCTTTCCATTCACACGGACCCCTCCCTGCCCACCTCAGCTCCGCTCTGCCATCTGCGGGTGACACCCAGTAGCATCCCGGTCACCTCTGCCCACTGCCATTTTCCGTCTCCCTGTTTGGACGTCTCTGCCGACCTCTGGCCCTTGACCTCGATTTCACCCACAGACTCGGGCCGAAGTCACCTCTGAACTCCCCCCCCCACCCCCCCACCCCTCTTTCACCAACCAAAGGAGTTTTTAAAAAAAAAAAAGAGCCAAAAAAAAAAAAAAACCCAAAAACAAACAGTAAAGAGAAAAGACATTCCTCATAAACAGGCGACAGGAACAAAAGAATCTAAAATCTATTTTTCTGACCTCGGTGGGAGGATGCGGTAAATGAAGCCACACTCTTCAGTTAGCAGCACACCCTTATCTCCAGCCCACAACTGCCGTCTTGTTTTACTTGTTTTTCTGCTTAATTACCGTCCCCTGCCCGTGGCAACTCTTTGCTGGATTTTTATTTGTAGGTGGCTTGGAAAAATGTACTTTTGCGTGGCGTGCTGAATTCACAAAATACTGCCATAGGCTCACCTATCTCTTGTGTTTCCACTCTGCACATTATTAGGGTCAGCCCACGTTCTGCGTGTCACATGGTCCCCGTGTGCACGAGCATCTGTCACCTTGCCCTCCCCCGTTCCCAGGGCTGGGCTGGACATGAACCCATGTCCCTAGTACCACAGTGATGCTGCTGTGAGCCTAGGAGCTCCCGGGACGTCTACCCAGAAACCAGCCCCTGGGGCACAGAGGAAGGTGTGTGCAGGGCAGTGCCCTCACCAGCACAGCTGTGCCCAGCCTGCTGGGTGGTCCATACGTCACAGATGTGTCCCCACGTCCCCCGTTATTCAGCTGTCTGCTCTTTGTTAGTTTTGTTGTGTTAGTTCCCATCTGTCTAATCACTGGTGAGTCTGCGTGTCCATTCACACACACGTGGGCATTTCCGGGCGCTCCTCTGTGATTTAACTACTCGTGTTCTTTGCAAACTTTTCTGTCGGGTTCCTGCCTTCTTACTGATTTGTAGGCTTTCCTTTTTATATTCCACACCCGAGTCTCTTTGGCTTCAGACGTGTGGGTATCATCTCTCAGCCTGGCCTTTCCCTGTTAGCGTTGTCCCTGCTGTTGTCACTGGACCGCAGTATCGGACGCTGATGTAATCGAATGACTCCCTCATAGTTTGTGCTTTTGGGGCTCCTTTTCAGACGTCTTTCTCTACCCTCAGGCCACAGGTTGTTCTCTAACGTTATTTTCTACAAACGTTAAGAGTTTCACTTTTACACTTGGGTCTTTAACCCGTCTAGACGCGACCTTCACCTATGGCTCCAGGGAGGAACTGGCTGGATGTTTCCCTACTGTTGGAAGCCAGTTTTCACAACGTGGTCTGGTCCAGATTCTGTGCCTTCTCTCACTGATTTATGTCCGAAATTCAACCTCCTTTGCAAACATAGGTCTGTCTGCAAGCTCTGCCTTCTTCTGTTTTCTGTGTGATCTCGTCCCAGTACCATACAGCATCACCACCACGGTTTTGTGGGTCTTCTGTGCCTTTGGTAACCGATCTAAAAAGGGTTACGAAAAGCATGTTTCCAGAGCCCTCAGCGACACCCCCACCTTCTCCTTCTACTTTAATTCTTAAAGGCCTGTGTCAATATCAGCGCCAGACTTCTTCATTTTTGTTTATCAAAAACCTGGAAGCAAACTTTTTTTAGGAACAGAAACCATTGAGTATGTCCCAAGCTTCAGGGACACAGGGACCCAACGAGACGCTGATTTAAGATTCAGACAGAGGCTGAGCCTCCTCGGGCTGTGGGTCTGTGTCCCACAGAGGCCCTGGTGTACCATCGCCAGGACTGGGGCGGCAGGGGGGGGGGGACCCGGCACCAGAGGCTGCGCAACTGCTAAGTCAGTCCCGCAAGACTGGCTTCCCTGGGGTGAAGAGTCTCGGGAATCAGCACATGGCATTTAGGTGTTGGGAGAGTAACACCCTGAGTCAAGGGGAAGATGTTCTGTTACTATGTTCTCTTTGTGTAGTAAACACTTTAAAAAATTACCCACTGCTTTTTCACACCGTCCTCCCCTCAGTGAGCTCTGCTCCCTTCACCCCACTGTCCTCCACTCAGTGAGCTCTGGTCCTCTCACCCCAAGCTTGGCGCCTCTAGGACTCTCTGGTTTTGGGCAGAATTTTATTCTTCTTCATCCTGGGCTCAGGGCCCCCATATCTGCCCCCTCCAGCAACCTGCCTCTC